AAGCAATTCCCCATTGAACATCTTAAGCTTGTACAATGCATGGCTGTGTTTTATCAGATGAACAATTGACTTTGCCTTTGCATGTGTTTCTTGACAGATGCCCCTGACATTTTATTCAGAAAGCGTGGTATCATAACTATTTTTACAGAGACTCAAGAACACAGTCTAGAACACAAAGTAATCATCTTAGCAGAGATTTCTTATGATCACGGAAAGGGCCTCGCCACTTATATTTCACATAGAACAGGATTGTCCTTCATCAACATTAGGAACCCTTTGTCAAATACTTTGCTTATCCTGCACACAGGGTCAAATTCAGATTTAGGGCCTATAATATCAGAGAAGGAAGGGAGGGAATGTATTTAAAAGCATTACATACATCAAATCTAGGGGATTGGGATGTGCAGCAATTATACATTATTGTTAGTTATTTCATGTCTGAAACATCCTACAAAATGGTTCAGTTCTCCATTTGATTTGTGGAAATGTTGAATGCTCAGGTGACAAAACTAGACACACTACAGTGTAAAGACATTGCTCAATGTTTGATCATTGATTACCATGTACTTCAAATCATTCTGTAGCAGGATTTATAAAGACATATGTCTGCAGAGGTAACTGTGTCAGAGATATTGTCAATGATAAACCATATTTTAAAAGCCTGAACACTGAACTTGGCCTATTTTGCACCAAACATTTTCAAAAGATACTCCTATTCAGATATAACCGCCTCCTTGGTGTAGTGGTTAGAGCATCCGCCCGGAGAGCGGAAGGTCGCGGGTTCGATCCCTGACCGCGTCATACCAAAAGACGTTAAAATATGGTACTTGTTGGTATTCCCTGCCTGGCTTTCGCATTAATGGGTACAACAAGGACTGGTCGGCTGGGAGTCAGTATAATGTGTCTGAGTGGGGTATTCATGCTTCACTCGCTTGCATGGTATCTCAGTGGGCTAGCACTATAAAAAAACAGCTTAAGTCAAGGCTAGTACAAGCAGCCGCACATACACATACACACGCATGCATCGTCATATGAGCGAAATATTCTCAAGCACGACGTTAAACCCACTTTCACCTCACATATTCAGATATGTTTTAAGCCCTAAAATAAATTCATAAAATAAAGTTTGAAAGAATATAGCCACAGAGATTTCTCCAGCACATGACCTTGACCTCTGACCTTCTCATAGCATGTGCCAAAATGACAAACTAACAGTGCAACAGCAGTGCTTATACATAGTTGACATGTGGAATGTGTTACGTGTATGTGGGAGCTTAAATGCAGCTGAAGGATGGAAGGTGTTGTAGAAACTGGGGTAGACTTCGGGTTGGGTAGAGGGGCCTTCCATTCCGCTTACCTTAATTTAGAATTTCACCATCTAGAATAAAGTTTGGCAAAATCATATCCCCTGTTTTGACAATTGGTCTGACATATTTACTATTAGCAACAAACAGTAAGCTCCCTCTATGATTCCAATTATTTTGTGAAAAATGTGAATCTGTTAACTCTCAATCATGCTTCGCTTAACAAAAACATATCTCTATTAAGTTCATACGACCAGGTTGATTATTCAGTTGAAACAGAGAATTCATGACAGTTGTTAGTGAAGAGGATGAGATCTTGAGTTAGTTCGGGTGCCTGGAAGAAAGAAACCAAGAGAGGTGTTCAAAGTTTCCCCTCCCTCACACACACAGAAATCACAGAATTACAGAACCGATGCAAGATGTGTTCTTGCCGGTCCCGCAATGCAGAGCACGGGTTACAAATCGGGTTGACATTAAGCAACGCTGGTCTCAGAGTCTTTGGACGGGTGACCATCACATTAGGCAAGTGATTTTGCTCAGCATGCCTGTGTTCACCCATCAGTCAGTGGGTACCCGGTGGTATGAGATGGTCATACAACTGCTAACCTGCTAGTGCCTCACAGGCAGCTAGGGTTGTATAGCACACTGATCCAAAAGAGCTGGGTAATAATGTTAGTGCTTTAAGCATACACCTCATGTATGGAAATTAGCACAAAATAAGTACATATTAGTATATAAAATAAGTAATTTATTTTTTTCATTTTTGTAATCAAAACATATCTTAATGGAAGCTTTTGCCAACACCGATCCCCCATTAAGTGACATAACATCATTATGGATTCCCCAACATCCTTTTTGGACCAGAATAAGGACTATTAAACTATATTAATTTACTGAAGTGATGGTGAATCAGCATTCATTGTGTCATGTACAAGAAACAAGCACGGAATGAGTATGGTTTAATGCCAGTTTACAAAGCATTCCAGTTACATATTGGTGTGCCTGCTTTATGAGGGAAAAAAGCTTACTGAAACCCACGCTCACTTGCTCACTTCCTCCTTCCTTCCCCTACACTCCGCCTCCCCCCTCTCTCTCTCTCTTCCTCTCTCTCTCTCATATGAGAGACAAGAATCAAAACTACCTCTTTCTCTGAGACCTTTGCCAAAGTTTCTGTATACAGCGATCAGCTCTGCCATGAGAATGAACCAGGAAATCAGGGCAATAGCTCCTGCAACAATCATCATCATCATCATCAAAATGCATCACCATTTATGAACCTGTACATCATGATTTCCAGTGACTAATCAACACTGAGTCAGTCACATAAATAATATTTTGCCAGGTAAAATCATAATCCTCAGAATATTGTTACATTTTGTTAATTAAGTCCCTACCTTTACTACTGATACAATTAAATAACCAATGTTGAAGAACATTAGCACACTGCTGATCATGATGATGCTACTCAACACTTATCATTTGAGGCTTCCCAGAGCCTTAACAGAACAATGCTGACAGGCTGGGTCTACTGAGACAACTTGTAGACTGTCACATATCTGTGGGAGTTACCTGCAGCCAGGAGGGAGTACACGATGGTGTTGCTGAAGGCTTCAGGGTCCTCCGCCAGCTCTGTATACACCTATGGCGATAACAATCATCATCATCATCATCATCATCATCATCATCATCATCATCATCATCATCATCATCATCATCATCACCACCACCACCACCGCGCATCATCATCATCATCATTATCACCACCACCATCATCATCACTATTACCACCATCATCATCATCATCATTATCACTATTACCACCATCATCATCAATAACTGCAATAGTGACCTTTAGGGCTTCCGCGATTCACATGATATTTTGGATGAATCATATCCTTTCAAAGATTTGATTCATTATTCGTGGTTCATTAGAGGAATATTCATATATGTTTTAAGAAAGAGTTTTTACTTGAAATTAAATATACAAAATAGATATAAATACATGCATTGTGATGGCATAACTTGTGTCTCTTTGCCAAATCCCCAAGTTGCCAATCAACCCAATACACATTAGGCTTTAAGTGTCAAGTTGTAACATTTGTTGTGAGAGTGAGTTAGTTTTTACCCTGCTTTTAGCAATATTCCAGCAATATCACGCAGGGGACACCAGAAATGGGCTTCACCTAAATGTACCCATGTGGGGAATCAAACCTGGGTCTTCAGCTAGCGATGAGCTTAACGCTTTTAACCACTAGGCTACCCAACTGTCCCACATTTGTTGTGATAAATTAAGCCATGTCAAATAATTTGTTACTGTTTCACTGAATACAATAATACATCAACTACTGGATTGTCATTGTATTTGTGGATAGATTTTGTATTCATTAGGGCTGAACATTTCACCCAGACCTTGGTTCAATTCGATTTTCAACATTGGACCCTCAATTTGATCATTTTCGATTCTTCATACAAGTAAAACATCAAATTTCATTTAACTCTCAGAGTCGGCCTTTTATCGTGAAATCCATCGTCATCTTGGCAATGTCTACTAACAACAATTGTCATTTTATAATTTGCCAATCAACCAATCACTTTTTGCCTTAATTTCAGTGCTCCAAACTGCTCGAGTTGAAGTCAAAATTACGTTCGGGTTGTGTGGAAATAATTTAGATTGGTATTCAAATATCAGTGTCGAAATAGTGATAATGGTTATTGAAAATCAAAACTAAGGTGTCAGATTCGATTTGTCGAAGAAACGAACCAAATCGTTGCATCCCTAGTATTCATCACCCCTCGTGATACAAATCAATTCCACTCTTACGATATTTGATGCACCCTACATCACCATTTATTAATGCACATTTGCAATATTTAGTGGCTAATCGTCACATCTTAATTCCTTAATAAAAATTCAAAATGTTCAGTAAATTTTACTAATATGACAAAGATTTTCCATGTCTTCATTATTGATAATATATTGATATTTTGCAATTTCCTATGAACACAGGGAACGTGACAGAGAGTATCAAACGTTTATTAATGCTCATGGGAATTATGTTGTTTCTTTGTATAACTTGACTTTTCACTGGCCACTTTTTTCATTTGTTTGTTCTTATTGGCTGGTAAGGAATGAGACATTAAATACATGTTCAAACTTTGTAAATGTCCACTACAAACATTTTTCACATCGGTTGTTAAACTCACAACTCAGTGAAACAAAAATTCACAATCCTTAAGTGATCATTGTTCAAAAGAACCTTGTCCCTCCAAAAACACACACACAAAAAATACAGTGACTGAAATATTTACTGAAATAACGGTATCTATTAGGGGTGGGTATTGCAGAGAATTTTCATATTGTAATATTGCGATAAGCGAAGCATATATTGCAATATGTATTGCAATATATTGCAAGAAGTTAATGCTTGATTTATAAAGCAAAAACACAACAAAAGCACTATTCTTGATTATAAAACTTTTAATTTACTTTTACCATTGCATATTTTACATACCGCTTACTGTTATCAATAGTTCCATTTACCGTCAGAATTTGTTCAACCCAAAATGCTGCCATACTGAAGCCTTTGCCCTTGTATTTGGCCCCACAATAAATTGTTCGTTGTCAGGGTCGCCATTTTACAACAAACGCGATGACTTCCGTGTGAAAAACAGAAATATCCTAAGATTTCCGAAGTTACGAAGTTTTCCGAATGCATAATGTATCGCTTTCATGTCTGAACCGGTTATATTAGCAGCCCTAGTATCTATGCTCTTATTTCTTTCCAATATTGATATTCCAGTACTCACTTTAATAACTTTGTAGAGATAGTATGCAGGCTTGATAACACCGCCACAGCAAACACCCACCCACACCCTCAGTTCCCTCGCTGGTGACAGAGAAGAAACACTGCATCATAATGTTAATCACACAAAAAACTGTTACCATGGTTACTGCTACCTAAGATTCATTTCCATCACATTCAGTGCAGTGTGACTGTGTCATTTGAGAGTTACAGAACCGTAACCTAAATTGTGGATAACCTTGATTCATGGATCGTGGTAATTATCATGCTATCTCAGAATTAATTCTTGTATGACATCACAAAGTGGTACTTTTGATGTACACACAATGCCATGCCTCGCAGACGAAAATGTTCCAAATCTCTGCATTACACGTAAATACACGATTCTAATTGTCCATCACTGAGATAAATAGCCCAAGATCTCTAATGCCACTAATACCACTAATTTTATTTTTACAAAATGTCAAGTAAAAAGATACCATTAGCACCAACCTTCTCACATCTAGGTGCGTCTGCTATCCTAGGTGTCAATACTTACTGTAATGGGCTATAAGTGAACAGTGATAAAAGGAACCGACTTCGTAATCCAAGGTGAACCAGGGGCACCGAAGCGGTGATGATTGCAAATGGTTTCGTAGACAAGCGTTTCTTTCACGAGTGGAATATTAGGCATTTTCAATTTGCTGAATCAATGAATAAAATAATCAGTGAGTATACAAAATGAAATCATGCATTTAAGATATGATTTTTTGCCATACTTCCCTTATATCCACGAATCAAGGTTACGCGAGTGTAATTCACTGCTGGGATACCTTTAGGTGCATTAATTAATATGACTTTCATCCGCACTTTTAGAAGTGCTGCCATGTTTTCACTCATGTCCACTCACATTATTTCAAAAAAATTTAAAATTTACATTTATTACCATTTGGATTGAAACATGAGTTTCTTAGCCAAGATATTTTTATGGATTAAACTTCTTTTTAATTTTTCTCACTGTATTAAACTTCTTTTTAAATTTTTCTCACTGTATTAAACTTCTTTTTAATTTTTCTCACAATCAAACTTCTTTTAATTTTTCTCACCATAATTTTTCTCATTTTTAATCCATAAAAATATCTTGGATATCAATGTACAACTTATAAATGCCACTGAAAAACATGAGTTTCTTAGTTTGTATGTTTGTTGTTTAACGCTGCACTCAGCAATATTTCAGCTTTATGGCGGTGTTCTGTAAATAATCAAATCTGGACCAGACAATCCAGTGATCATCAGCCTAAACATTGATCTACACAACTGGGATACGATGACCTGTCAACAAAATCAGGGGAGCCTGAGCGCTCAGTCCCGTTATCACCTCTTACAATAAACATAGGTTGCAGAAGACCAATTTTAACTCTGATCTTCAGGTAAGGACATAATGGTTTCAAATTGCGCTGCACTTTAACAACAATCTTAAAAGATTGTGTGTGGAAAGAAACAAGATGTATCTTGATGAACTGCTCACTGCCATGTCAGATGCTTATTTGAGAATTGGGCAAGGGCAGATAACTCTAGCTAGCACAAAACTCTCACCTCCATCTACCAAAGTGGTAGGACATTTTACAAAACATTCAATCTCTTGCTGCCATGACCAGTTACTACAAATATTAACAACCGCTTCAATAACCTACATTATTCACACAGAGCACAGGCTCAGGATGTGGCACTCATAAATTCCACTTCAGATGAGGAGAAGCCATACCACTACAGTGACTGATTACTCAACATATAAAGTGGATTGACCTATGATGTCCGGCTGTCACTGAGTCACATCCCTATGCAGTGTATCAACACCACTAACAAATACATCCTACAAAATCTATAACATTAAAGGGCATAACATGTACAGAAGTCACCTTTAAACCTTATTTTCATGTATGGCTGGGGCTTAGAAATCAACACAGAACATGCCAATGACTTACAGAGTGAGTGTGGATTGTTTTACGCTGCTTTTAGCAATATTCCAGCAATATCATGACAGGGGACACCAGAAATAGGCTTCACACATTGCATCCATGTGGGGAATTGAACCCGGGTCTTCGGCGTGACAAGCGAACTCTTTCACAACTAAGCTACCCAACCCCCCCTAAGACTTACAAAAATATAGATTGTCACTGCTCCCACAAGAGATTGCTGGAATACTGCTAAAAGTGGTGCAAAATTTTACTCAGTCTCTGTTTTGCAAATTAGTTCAAAATTCATATAGCCTATCTCTCCACATTTCCCCATCACCACTGGGTGCAGACACAACTCATTACATTTTTACAACATGTGTAACACTCACCACGAACCAGCCCAGTATTGACCACAAAAGTGTGTATGGTATCCCAACACCCAGATTGATCTTTTCCAGCAGTGTGATGTCCGTTCCCTCCTTCAAGGCCAGGACCACAAAGCTTACCTGGAAATGTAAAAATATGTATGTATGTAATCCATGATTGAAAACATTGCCAGTGTGTGGATCAGTCTTGGCACACATATGAGTGAGTGAGTGAGTTTAGTTTTACGTCGCACTCAGCAATATTCCAGCTATATAGCGGCGGGTCTGTAAATAATCGAGACTGGACCAGACAATCCAGTGATCAACAGCATGAGCATCGATCTGCGCAATTGGGAAACGATGACATTTGTCAACCAAGTCAGTGAGCCTGACCACCCGATTCCGTTAGTTGCCTCTTACGACAAGCATAGTCGCCTTTTGTGGCAAGCATGGGTTGCTGAAGACCTATTCTACCCCTGATCTTCACGGGTCCACACATATGAGACATCATCTTCTTGTTTCAGTGGGGACACTGCTTCAGATGTTATTTATTCAAGTTATTCCATTCGGGAGTGTTTATTTGTTTTTGTTTCTATGTTGTTAAGTACTGCACTCAGCAATAATCCAGCTGTATGGCAGCAGCCTGTAAAGTCTGGACCAGACAATCCAGTGATCAACAGTATGAGCATGGATTTACGCGCAAGTTGAGATAATGATGACACGTGTCAACCAAGTCAACAAGTCTGACCACCTGATCCCGTTAGTAGCCTCCTACACGACAAGCATGGGTTACTGAAGATAATTCTAATCCAGAGCTGAACTGGTCATTCAGAAGTGTCCTATTGGAGAATAGTGTTCAGCATAAATCAACCACAAAAACCAGTGTAATTTACTGTGTAAAACAACAGTGATAAAATCTCCTTAACATCATTTATAGCTTCATTTAACAACACAACAATGCCAGACAGTTTTGGGTATTTGCCACACACAAATTACACGTTGAAATAAGAGCAGAATCCTTTTGTCCCGACATTTCATGCTAAACCAAAAATACAACTGACCACAATACTGACCACTGTCCAGTGACCCCTAAGGACCTTCAGTTTGGAGATACATTTACAGTGTTTCCATATGGTTCTTTGAGATTTGATCATGTGAAATCCACACAAGGTGAATGTTATTTTAAACTCAGTATAAGTATAAGCTGATCGTTCATGTTGGTCAAACAATAAATGAATTCTATATGTGATAAATAACATCTTACCGATGCCTGCAAGTCTAATTTCAAGAAGCAGGAAAATATGGCGGCCTGTTTGTAGAGATCTGAAAACATAAGTATGTTTAACATTAACACAAGAATTAAATGTCATAAAAATCACTCTCAGTCATCAAAGTAATGGGATTATACTAGTGGTGTCTGATTATTTGAAATAATCGAAGGTTGGTCACAGTGACCAAAATCGACCTCAAGCAATCGATCACATTTTCTCATAATCGAACACAAAATGATATTGTAACTACTATTTTAGAGTTTGAACCACTTGATGACTGAACATATCTTAGAAGCTAACAGGGCCTGAAAATGTGTTTAATTCTTAGAAAACTCTTACTGAAAAGTCATGATTGAATATTTCTTGAAGACTCCAGGAAGTTTATGTTCATGATATATTAGTCATCACTTTAAACTAGCAAGCTGCATCGTTTTACATTGGATGTGAAGTTTGCAAATGCAATTTGTGCAGTTTCTGAATATAACAAAAAACAGAGATCCACGTTATACTTATCTGCAATAACAACCTGGATAGGAAAATCTTAAACATGACGCTAACCAATTTTCTTCGATGATTGCTCGTTGGTAGTGAACCAATCATCAATTTTGAGATTTCAACCAATTCCCAACACTAGATCATGGGGTCATTTAGGTTAGTCCTTGTAGTATTGGAATCTAAGGCATTGAACATTAAACAATAGGCTTTTTTATAACAAGGACCCATGGCATTCCAGCTTAACTTAAAAAAGAGTCACTGTCAACTCAGATATTCCAAATACATATTACAGGTTATGATTTGAAGACTTTAAGTGGTTTAAAGAAGTGACTTAATTGATCAGATACTAACGTTGCAGATATTCTGAAGCGCCAACTATTCTAAATTCCAGATATCCAAAGTCCTTTGCAACAGCCCAGGCTAGAAAAATGTTTGGCGGTGCTAAGATACACACTAAGATCAGATCGGACCTGAAAATAGAACACACCTTTACGACAAAATAAATCACAAGTATCTGAGCACACCTGCAGTGAGAATGTTCTCAAAAAGCTATTTATTTCTGAAATTAAAACACTTTTCATTTTGAAACAGGTTTTCGGCTGTGAGTGAGTGAGTGAGTTTAGTTTTAAGCCACACTCAGCAATATTCCAGCTATATGGCGGCGGTCTGTAAATAATGAGTCTGGACCAGACAATCAAGTTATCAAGAGCACAAGCATCAATCTTAAAATTTGGATCACGATGACATGTGTCAACCATGTCAACTAACCTGACCACCAGAAGTAAAATCATGGCGGACTGGGATTAGAACCCACAATGATAAGTGTCTGAAATATCAAAGGGAGGAAACTCTGTACAGTCAATTGTGGTTCCTTTGGCAACTGTGCTACCCATGCCCCTAAAGACAAAATGACTGACTGACTGAGTTTGGTTTTACGCCGCTTTTAGCAATATTTCAGCAACATCACGGGCGGGGGACACCAGAAATGGGCTTCACACATTGTACCCATGTGGGGATTCGAACTCGGGTCTTCGCTGACGAGCCAAAGCTTTAACCATTAGGCTACCCCACCGCCCCTAAAGACAAAATGAAGTGAATCTTACATGCTTTAGTTTTTAACTGCACACCAAGTATCATGTCAATATCAACAGATGTGGGATTATGAAATCGGAAATCAGGGTGAGATTTCGCTGTTCACAACCTGCACCGGCGCATGTTAAAAATACCTGGTGCAGGTTACCTTGAGTAACAGGTTGCACCCGTTGCAGGTAACAATAAATCCTCCAACATATTACATCTGTCATCGTGTGTTTAAATTTCGAAGTAAGTGACTCAAAGCAATATGTGACTTGTTATCAGCAGAAACATCTGTGTAATCTTAAATCAGTTTTGTTGCAGTAATCAAACATTGAGATATATAAATAACGGTAATGCAAAATAAAAACATAGTCATTCATCATTTATCATCATGGGGTCAGGTTCTGTTGAATGTATCTGACACTGAGTACTTGTTATGAAAATTGCTCAAGAAGTATATAAGGAACAATTTATAAAACGGAAATATGATTACTTTTCAGAACCAATCAGTGACATTAATGTGATCGCTTTATGGTGCAAATGAAATTTTGATGGTGCAGCCAAACCTATAAGCCAGGTTGCACTTGGTGCAGGTACTGAAAGAAACCCTGAAATTGCACCCTGGAAATTTCAAGCTCCGTGTTGAGTTTCCAGTAAACTGTGTTTGTGATTTCTAGTATGTTTTCAGTCAAGTGTATTGTCCAACATACTTCGATAGTTCTTGACACTACAAAACATGATCATTTAACTTCTATCCCGTTTGCCCACCAAACATGATTGTGAGGGATGTAATTTCCTAATAGCAGTCAGCTATTCAGTCGGAGGTTGTTACTGAATTTGAAATCTGATTGACCAATCAAAATTCAGTACTTTCCAAAGTGAGGAAGAGTTAAACCACCAGGTCCGATTGTAATATCATTTTCGCTCAGAGCTTAAGTAATTAATGTATGTATGGAGGAAGATACAAGAGTAGATACAACACATGGCAAAAGGTTACAACACATGATCAAAAACTGAAATTTAAACAGTTGAAAAATAATCTTGTTCTGTCTGATCCCACCATCTCTGTTAAATTTGAAAAACAAAAAATATGATTACAAAATTCAAGAACAAAAGTAAATGTAAACTTCTTAGCGCTTGTTTTTGTGTATTATTTTCTTGTTTACTGACACACTCAGCAATATTTCTGCCATATGGTGGTGTAAACCTCTTAAATTGATCAAATGCATTGTATGTTGTCTTTGGCCATTGTAAATACTCATGAAGAGAATAAAGTTTGCTGTCTACTGTCTAATTCAACATTTGTATCGAGAAAGTATTAAAAGTTATGTGGGGACCAGACAATCAAGTGATTAGCATCATGAACATCGATCTAAGCATTGGGGATGCAATGACAAGCATCAACATGGTCCTTACAATAGTGAGTGAGTGAGTGAGTTAAAATTTAAAGTCACATCGGCAGTATTTCAGCCATATTGTGACTATAAAAGTTGTAAATTTGTACCTCTTACAATAACTATGGGCAACTGAAGACCAATTCTAACACAGATCTTCTCAGGAATAGCAAAGACTTCCCACAATTAACACACATACATCATACAAGCGAAAAATATAAAATATCTTCCACTTACTCGGAGAAAACATTAATATGTCCTTGTACCACAAAACCCACACAAGAAGGTATAATATAGATATATTATCTACACAAATTATGTCATATTTCAACCAAATATAGCAGGACATGGAGTCGTACAATAGATGACATCCTTACCGTGACAACTTGGTGACCGGGCTAACCTATTTGGTCATGTGGACAAGGTGTCCAAGTTGGATTGGAAGGTCCATGGTTCAAATCCCAGCATGGGATTTGGAATTTTTATGGCCGCTATACAATCTAAGCAGTTAGTTATTAACCTGTCAACTATCTGACATAACTATTTATCTTTACCAGTTTGACTGTTGTTTGCCCTTCTTTGTTGAAGGCTCCATACTCCAGTACACAGTACATGGTCACTACCAAGATGGCCACTATCAGCGCGTAGAGCTCGTACACACGTTCACGCAACACACCATGGATGACATAGAAGGCACTGAAACCTGAACATGGAAACAAAGACAGAAAATAGGTTGTTCTGATACAGAAAAATGAGATTTTGCTAATTTAAAGTAATTAAATAAACTGGAAATTCTTTTATATTCTGGTTTGCAGGTGTGAAATGCAACTAACATGCTTACCTGCATTAGTTGTATGAGTGAGTGAGTTTTAGTTTTACGCCGCTATTAGCAATATTCCAGGGATATCATGGCAGGGGACACCAGAAATGGGCTTCTCATGGGAATCCATGTGGGGAATCGAACCCGGGTGTTTGGTGTGATGAGTGAACGCCTTAACCACTAGGCTACCCCACCGCCCCAAGTTGTATGAATATGTTGCTATTTGTGCAGCTGGATCTTTCATGCTATTTGAATCCTTTACAGGAAAAGACAAGGTGGAAATATAGGGAAAAACTTGCATCTTCTATTTTCTCGCCCACCAGAAGGAGGCTTGTATGAAAGTGAGCTCATTTACATTTCTACTCAAAAATCTGTTCAGTTTAGATAACACTGATGCAAAATTGTTGAAAGTTGAAACATTTTTTCAGGTGAGCAGCATGATTAAAAATTCATAATTGTATATTTTTGTTGATTCTACAAAATTTACTACTACTTGTTCTGTCTGCTGATTTGTAAAGCAAGTAGGACAGGTGCAGTCTGAAATGCTAAACTATAACTATCTATAGGCAGTTTAGCATTGCAAGCATTACGAATGTTACTTTTTACCACTTTCATGTTTTGAGGTCAGCAGAATTTGAAAGATATTTCTTTTAATGCATCTCATCACGATGCACATTAGATCAAATAATCTCAGTTTAAACAAACTTTCAAAGATTGCAGCACATAAAAGCTTTGGTTACCAAAGCTACAAAGACAGATCATTTTGTTCCAGACAATAATGTTTTGGAAGCAGCATTCTCATCTTGTTTGCATTGATATATGATGCCAAAGGAGATAAACTGAATCTTCAATTCCTTTGAAACTGTAGTTGTTTTCTTCAACATTTGCCGATTATTATGTGCATATTTATGAAGAGTGAGTGAGTGAGTTCAGTTTTACGCCGCACTCAGCAATATTCCAGCTATATGGCGGCGGTCTGTAAATAATTGAGTCTGCATCAGACAATCCAGTGATCAACAGCGTGAGCATCAATCTGCGCAATTGGGAACTGATGACATGTGTCAACCAAGTCAGCGAGCCTGACCATCCGATCCCGTTAGTCACCTCTTACAACAAGCATGGGTTACTGAAGATCATTATTCTAACCCAGACCTTCACGGGTATATATTTATGAAGAATCAAATCAACACCCTTAAACATGGTCAAAGTATCAAAGTATTCTATTATTACCCCAGTCAATAGTTGCATTCAATTTCTTTCCCAGCTCCATGCAAACCAAGTCTGAGGTGTTTTTCTCAATTTGAATCCCGCGATTGACCAGTCAAATCTTAGTATTTTCATACATTCAAGTTAGAGTGAGTGAGTGAGTTTAAGTTTACACTGCTTTTAGCAGTATTCCAGCAATATCATGGCGGGGGACATCAGAAATGGGCTTCACACCTTGTATCCATGTGGGGAATCGAACCCGGGTCTTCGGTATTACGAGCGAACGTTTTAACCACTAGACCACAGCCCCACAGATTAGAATGATAATTACCAGCATTGATAAGAAGGAGTATCGTGAAGGTGAAATCCGATGACTCAGGGTCAGATTCGACCACCACTACCAGCCTATAGATTGTCAGCCCTACTGCTGCCAAGATGTTGATGGTCGACACAACCAGAAATGCCCATTCTTTTGGATACAGGCCTGCAAATGTCTTTGTCTAAAACAAACAAATTAAATAATTATAGAGTTGTACTGTTACATTATCATAAAGATCGATATGAATATATAAAATACATTATTAGATGTACAATTTGGGGAAAGGGGAATACACATCTTTCTTTTTTCACACAAGAGGACTTTTAATTTTTTGTTTACTTTGTCAAAAATACCTGAAAGATTTAGAGGATTTAATAAAATATCCAAATGTGTAATGCAGTAATGCAATAATGCAATGTGTGTGTTTACATATGCGTGGCATTGATTTCTCATAGGGTAGGGATGCATGATCTCTGATCATATACATTGTACAAAATGCCCTTAGGGACCGTACATAAAATTATGGCTAAAGGTGGTGTTGATGAATTTTATGGAGAAGCATACAAATGTATGTAGTGTGAATGCACACACACACACACACACACACACACACACCCTTAAAAAGTTATGTACAAAGTATGTGGCACACCTCCATATCATGTACAAGATAAATGACCCTTCTATATTACATGTCAACACACACACACACACGCACGCACGCACGCACGCACGCACACACACACACTCCAACAAACTGGGTGACCCCTCCTCCCTCCTTAAATCATCACCTCCCGAGCCATAAATTATGAACGGTCCCTTACTGCATGTTTTAAATGTTGTTGTTTTTCAAATCGTCATAAATGAAAATAGTTCATGAAAGACTGTATGATATAATTCACGTGCAGAGTTTACATCCAGTGATGGATGAGAGAAGGGTCACACCCATATTTGGCAACATTACTGGTGATGTCTCGATGTTGTTTACCTTCCCGAACGCTGTGAGTGTCGTATATTTGGGGATATCCGTGATGCCATACTGTGTGTAATCGGTGGAGCCTTCTCTTGGAGAAGATGTCGGGGGTTGATCATCGGCCATGTTGTCAGGTGACACCTGTGTTATTTCATAATGTGTAGCTCGAGAACATCGGTAGACCGAAACTACATTTTGTGTGGGAGGCTTCCCCAGCAGTCACATGAGATCTATAAATAGGCATCCAATGATAAAAGTCGTAATATATAGTCCTGGCCAATCGACATGTGAATAACAATATAGATATGACGGGGTATCACGAGGTGGATTTTGTTTGAAAAAACAACAACAGATAACTCTCATGTGTATTAATTGTCGCTGTCCCAGGTACGGCAACGTTACAAAACAAATATGGGGGAACGGAAGGAACTCTTTCCTTTTGATTTATCGTTGGGCAATTTTGAATGAAAATTGTAGGGTGACCTTTTATAATGCCATTGTCGTGTCGGCGACGACTCTCGACAACAGACTCACGTAGATTATTGGGCTCCTTTTCGAATTTTGTAAAGTGACAGAATTATAAAATGATATAAAGGTTTGATTTTCGATTTGAGTCCAGTTGTGCCGGTACGTGTGGTAACATTTTCTGAGCATTGATTTGTGGGTAATTTCCTATTTGGGTGAACTAAACATTTGCATAATTAATTATTCCTTTACTGAAGGTGATCTGTGAATGAAGATGTACCGTATTTCCACTAATAAGCGCCGTGAGTAAAGCAGTTAAATAACAATTACGGTAATTACACCCAGTAAGCGCAAAAAACGCCGGGCCTCTAATAATCCGTCTGGAAGGCCGTTGAAAAAATAAGCGACAGGGCGCTTATTGGAGGAAATAAGGGACGCTCTAATTTCTAGTACCGCGTTAACAACTGTTACTGTCCACTTACCATCACTAACTCCTGCAACACTTTGTAAAAAACAATCTTTGCCTGGGTAATTTTGTTTTAAAATAAATTGGTTAAATAAGAACGACTTTGCAGGCAATTGAGCCTACCTGTGTTGAAATGTTTCTAAATATTACTTCGAAAGAAGCTAATTTGTTGATTTTCAAAGATGAGATTCTAAGATGCTTCTTAGCAATTGTGTATATATAGTAATTTTAAATATGTTTGAATCACATTATTGAAACAAAAATAAAACACGGGTATGGGTATTCTTTCAGTGTTATCTAACACCCGTGACATTTAGGAGATAAACGTACTGTGTTTGGAAAAAAGATGAATGTTAGACCGAATTGATAGTCTCTAAATTTCATTTGAAGCCGAACGCGTTCCATCACGTCTGTTGTGTTGATGTTAGTCATGTTGGTGGCCAAGCTGAAGTAGTGCGGCAGGGTTGTATACGTGCGCAGTGAAGCGCCGTGAAATCAGACGCATTTTCAATCCAAATTGATACCGTCTGATTTTGTGGCTTGACCAATCAAATTCAAGCATTTCACGAAGCCATGGTAGAATTCACTTTAAGATAGAAATATTTCCAACTGAGAATCGAAGCATACAGTATTAAAAGCCAATTCAATATTGACCAACTACTCATTTAATAATAATTAATGACCCCACTTTTTCTTCCTTTCTTCCCGATTGAAAGACTATCTATCTTCCCTTACTAATTCCGACAGCAAATCAGATATCTCTTATCACATCAAATCAAACCCCAATCTTAAAAAAACTAGTCTGACATCATTATTCTTGCGAACAATCAAACGGACTTCACCAAACGCAAACTCACCGAGTGTGTTTATTACCACCGACTCAAACTCTGAACCTATCGACAGCTTAACTAGTGTCAGCTAGAGCTGGGATGAAGGCTGTAGGTGGAAGATCGTTGGTTGCTGTTTAATTAGTTGAGTTGAGTTTTACGTCACATCGGCATTAATGTTTCTTGAAAAAATATATATTCTTTACATTATTATTTACAATCAGAATATGTCATAGTATCATATTCAAAAACAAGCAATCCGTCATTCACATTACACAGGTACAATTTCTGATGCAGATCAATTTCCCTGATGTAGTTCAAAAATGTTTTTAATTGACGCCGCACTCAGCAATATTCCAGGTATATAGCGTCGATCTGTAAGTAATCGAGTCTGGACCAGACAATTCAGTGATTAACAGCATAAGCATCGATCTAGGCAGTTGGGATAAGACATGTGTCAACCAAATCAGGATACGATGACATGTGTCAACCAAATCAGCGAGTTTTGTTAGTCGCCTTTTAGGACAAGCATGGGTTGTCGAAGACCAATTCTAACCCTGATCTTCAAGGGTACTGTACGTAGAAGAGAAGTGAAACTTCACAAGAAGGCCGAGCTCTTGGTATTAAAATTATCTATCTGTACATGTCATTTGTTAATACACTATCAGATATTAGAGTAAAGAAACGTTTTAATGACCGATGTGTCAAACTTTGTGAGAGTATAACGTGATTCAGTCTCTTGTGATGTGCTCTGCTGCCTTTCTTTGTTTGTTCTCCGCTTGTTTTGCTGGCAGTGCAATCTGTGTTGTGGATTCAAAGTCTGTGACAACAAATGTGACAACAAATGATTTTACTGTGTACTTTTTATTTCCCGAAAACCAATGGTGAGGTGAAATGGGGTTTAACGTCGCACTTGAGAATATTTCGCTCATAAGACGATATACGTGTGTATGTGTGGCTGCTTGTACTAGCCCAGACTTAAGCTGGTTTTATAGTGCTAGCCCACTGAGATACCATGCCGCAGTGAAGCATGAATACCCCACTCAGACACAGTATACTGACTCCGAGCCGACCAGTCCTTGTTGTACCCATTAATGCCGAGCGCCAGGCAGGGACCAACATGTACCATATTTTAACGTCTTTTGGTATGACGCGGCCGGGGATCGAACCCGCGACCTTCCGCTCTCCGGAGGCGGTCCCCGAATACCAAAGAACATAGAAGAAATAATCTTTTGAAGACAGCTCTATTCTCCTTTTCCAGATACATATTTCCCATAGCTACTCCTAAACAGACAAACTAAAGCAGAATCAAAGGTAAAGATGTTTTCGTTTTCTTTCATGATGTTGATATGAACATTATTATTTTGTCTTTTTTCATATTTTAACTGATTGACCGACCGACCCAACTTTATGTCAGTTCGGCAACGTGAAACACTTAAAGAATTGCTGCCCTTGTTTTGTTTTCTTTGTTACATTCAGAATAAACATCACCTCCACTTCATGTCACATTCCTCCAACCCCAACTCTAACGCCCCTGTTACGACGTAAATTGTAACAAAAACGCAAATTGTAATACTTGCAGCAAATTGTAATAAACTTGACGTAAATTGTAATAAAAACGTAAATTGTAATAAAAATTGACGTAAATTGTAATACGCAAATTGTAATAATAATTGACGTAAATTGTAATAATTTTCGTTGCGGTAAAATGTAATAAATGTTTACGTAAATTGTAATAACAGTTTTAATCACTCGTAAATACGCGGGTGTTTGTTTTTCGTTGCATTTCATACATCAAATAAGCTTGTTAGGGCGATAACTCAAGAAAGAAATGATGGATTTTGTTCAAATTTGGTACCAAGGTATATTGGCGAGATTCACCGACACAAGTGAAATGGAAATGGAAATGGTCACCTTCTGAGGGTTTTGCCAATATAAAGATTGTTAGCGCGATAACCCAAGAATGAATTGACAAATATTAGCTAAATGACGAAAATGATATTCGTCCTGATATATAATCGATATAAACTGTCCTCTGTATCATGTCTTTTCGCAAATATCTTTTGAGGTTTGATATGTATACATATAAAGTGGGGGTGGGGTAGGGGTGGGTTTCTGTATATCTAACACACTTGCATGCATGTAGAGTCGGAGAGGTGGGTGGGTGTTCTAACGGGTATAACTACGAGGGACGTTCAAATAGTAGTCAGCTTCACCTAGAATATGATACAAATGCAGCTGTTTTTATGTTTTATTTTTCTACATATTATCTGTCAGCCTCAAGCAAATTGGTTTTGCTATGTTGCAGCCTCACGATCCCCATTTTGTGAGACTTTGTATCTTGGCTTGGTACTCCCAAAAAACGTAAAATCTGCAATAAAATGCATCACAAACTTCAGGAAACAAAATATGCTATGTTTGAGATTGGTAGAAGTCGGCTAGAATCAAACTTAGATATTAAACTGCACAAAAAAGCAATTTCAAAACTACAATCGCTTGTTCAAATGACTCCCCATTCTGTTTACTAAAAGAACTCGAGAAAGAAATGATGGATTTTGTTCAAATTTGGTACCAAGGTTTATTGACTGGAGATTGGAGATTTACCGACACCACTTGAATTTAGTGACCTTGAGGTCATTTTAAAGGTCACAGCGAAGGTGTACCAGTTTTGCACATGCCAAGCTTGGTAGCCGCGAACTCAGGAAAGTATTAATAGATTTTGATCAATTTTATATCAAGGTGTATTGGCGGGATTCCCCAACACCAATTGATTGGGAAACTTGTGCTCATTTTAAGTTCACAGTGAAAAGTGTTTTGCACATGTCTAACTTTTTAGTGCGAAAATACAAGACAGAATTAATATGTTTTGCTTAAAGGTAGTACCAAGATGCGTTGGGAGTATCGTCTAACGCCAGTCGAATTCAGTGACCTTCGGATTATTTTCAAGGTCACAGCGAGTATTCTTGCGATATCTCCAAACCTAATGGATGGAATTTGTTCGCATTTTGTATCAAGGCATCAGATGACAGTTTCGGTAACGTTTACATAATTTTCAGGGTCAGACAGAGGATAATTGCGACATTCAGATATCGACATGTGGCGGGGGTAATAGCTATGTTTGTGACAAACGCTTTGTCATTACTAATTTTCAAAAAAAATTAGCATATGGTTTCTATAATTTCATGTTAATTCTACCAGCTGTGAAATTATTCGCCTGGTTATTCCTTGTCACATAGCAGTCAATCTGTCTACTCATTTGTTGTATTTGATTGATGCATTTAAAATAAAATGTAGAAATGATACTGAATTGCATCATTTGCTTCAAGGAATCGATCAGATGTGCTCGTTATCAAAGTAAAGTCAAAACTTCTTTCTGTAAGGTATACAGTGGAAGTTGACACCTTAATTGTTATGGGTAGACCAAAGAAATCATTTATTTAGTTT